GCTTAAAACCACATGGATACTATTTGAAGTTTGTAGGCTTTAAGGCGAAAAACCAACGAATGACTTTCACTAGAGACAGTTCCTCATGTTCCACAACTATGTGCTATTATTGATCCTGGCGTCTTGACAACTGAGTACGCTAACCAATGAGCAGACCGATTCCAAATACCCTCGGAGCTGACATTGAAAGTTTACATGAGGGCCTCTGGATGGGGACGACTTGTTCATCTGAGATCCGCAGATCATAGAACCTTTGAATCGAGCCAGTTAACTTGGCTAAATTATTTCCCAAGAAACCAAGTCTGAAGTGTGGTTATGACTAAGAGAGACTTCGTATAACTCAAATGGCCTTCTTCTGCCCTCTTTGGTACGGACATTGATTGGAAATTGCGGGTTGGTAAGCGATGTTGCTATGGCGGCGAGGTATATCATAGGCAACTTAGCCCATTTATTTTGAGCAGGTTTTTAAGGCTACTCGGGTTTATGTTCCCATTGGGGTTACTGGTGCGAGGATGAGGCGAGGACAAGGATGGGATTTATTTTCGAGCACGCGAATGACTTTAACTTCTTCGGAAGGGAAGATAATATTGGTAGGAAATGCTGGTTCAAGGGTCAAGCAACGCTTTTTCGTCACGTCACAGCTCTACTTCACACTTGAGAGGTCGAACTACGACCTCTCGATTCCCCATTACATTGTTGGGCTAGACTACATGTTAGTATGGTCTTTTAAGGATGTAGAGATTAGTTCGTCCGATAAATATAGACAAAAGCACACGGATATGCTCCAATAATGAGGTTATTCAATCCTTGTTTTTGCAATCTCCGAAATCCTCTGCCAGGATTTCGAGTTCTGGATCGGAGACTTAATTCATTCCAAGCTGTTTCACCGGCATCGTAGTCGACATCGTCATTGAGTCTTTCCGACTTTTGGGCAACATTTTGCTGAATTGTTGTCGCGTCTCTAATACCTTCACTTATCCTTTGTCCTCGTATCCCGATTCTTCCTTGTCGTAACGTCTAACTTATTCAGTCCGAGTTAAACAATGGATGGAATTAGGGAGATGTGCATACATTTGAGGAGCATGATTATCAGAGGTCTAAGACTAATAGACATCGATAAAATGTATATAAAGAAACATACAGACAATGGAAAGCAGATGACCTGTTGAAGATTGTGAATGCAAAATAAGGACGGGGAAATAAATACACACAAAACTGGATATGCCTACGAACTGACTCGGAAACTTGAACCGACATTAAGAAAAATGTTTTCAACGGACCAACTCTCAGACTTTCCATTTATTAGTGTAACCATACACTTTCTCCACTTCACAACGACTTTCTGGTTGTGCTTTTCGCTTGAATGAGATTAATCGCGTTACTTCAGGAGTAGGCCCGAGACTGGCGTACCTTCGTCGTCATCGAGTGAGCTGGCACTATCCAATCAGAATTGCCGATGACCCATTCCGCATACATCTCCTCACTCCCTCTTCTCCATACACCCACTGCTCTATTCTGACAGGCCTTTCGGCGCGTCGACGAACACGCTGTCACCGTGTCGAAACAGACACAGGATAACTTCAACCAGCTGATCTGGCAGCTGATTTACGCTCGCAACATCACCGACGAGCTCGAAAAGGTTCGTGTCATCTTCCTTTGGCTGTGCACCAAAGATCTGCACAAGATGAATTTCGACAATGTCAAGCCCGACTCGCCCGAGGAGATTCTAATCGGCATCCGGACTGGAAAGTCGACATACGCCCAGATCTTCCTCACTCTCTGCAGGTATGCTTTATTTTTTATAGTTTCTGCAAACAGCGCTATAGCCCCTGTCCGGCTTTCTAAACATACTCATTGACTACTCACAAGTTTATCGCTGTCATTTATACCGTTATTAGTGTTAAACCAAAGTAACCTTACAAGTGGGCTGATCTTGTTCTCGCAACTTTGTCGTGTTGCCAGAGCGACTTGGTTGGATGAACCTTGTCCGAAGTCCTTTGCTATAGTGGTTAATATACTTCACAGCGTCGGACCGTGGACTTGGTATGCTGGGCATTATGGTAACTGCGATAGCAGTCACCTTGACAGCACGACCAAGTTACGGAAACGAGGTCAGCCCACTTATGAACGTGGAAAGGAGACTGAGACCATACCAAAAACCCACCGTCATGGTCTTCCAAGTAACCTTACTTTGAAGATGTGGGTTGACCTCGTTGTCGCAACTTGGTCTTGTTGTCAGGGCGAT